TTTTTTTCCTCGAGTTCACACTGAATTCTGAGAGCTAACAAACATATTAGCAAAAAGCCGTAGCCATGTCAGTTTTATAGACTAACCTAGCTCTCTTTTAATCACCTTCTGCTCCTCCATTAATGAAATAGCATCACCAGGGACCCCTCGGACCCGTAAAAAGTCGCCTAATTACGTCATTTTCCACCAATGTGTTACTGGCCCTCCCAAACATCTCACATGTTTGTCAGTAAGGCTGACTGCTCACACATCTCTTCCTTCATGGTGCCCATCTACATTAAGATCCAAAATTCTGAGATGAAAGTCTGAATTCTGACGTTTTTCCCATATTAAACTAAAATAATATTTCACGATCAGTTAACTATTTTATTATTTTTTTTTTTTTTACAGTTTCCCTAATCCTCTTCTGTAGAAAGCCTTATCAGTGCAGATACCTATAGTTGTCAAAGTTCAGCACAGGGGCCATTTGGTCTCTTTAATAACTTTTTCTTTGGTCTCCATTTATATAAAGTGTCTAAACTTGTCTCTGGCCTTAGCTTCCGGGTGCTGCAGGTGTAGATATGCACCTGAATTGCTTCTTGTCTTTTTTTGAAGTTCAGGACCAAAGGGTTTTGTTCTTCTCCAGTGGAGGTTCTAGACCAAATTTCCACAGGGCCTCAGAACAAAAAACAAAATGGTCTGATATAGTAAGTGGAACAGAGCCTGTTGGAGCCAATTATTTTTTGTTGATAATTAAAGTTTATTGTTTTTGTGCATAATCTAGCTAAGTTTATTTCACTTTATTGTTTGATATCTGTTATGAGATTATGTTTTTTGGTTATTTAGTTATGTTTCTTTGTTTTTGGTTTGTTATGATTAATTTGGGTGAATTATATTTATAAATAGGTAGTCAATGGTAGGACCAGCATGCATCGGGGTGGGCGTATGTTTTTTTTTTTTTTTTTTTACCAATGTTAGTGTTTTTCTGTATGCTTGCCTGAGGAGAAAATAAACTGATCAAACTAAAGGAGTTTACCCGGAACATTTTTTCTTTTGCCCGTGTAACATTAGTCCTTGGTGCATCTGTGGCCTTTATGGATTTCCACTTTTATTGTGTCATCAAAGCTGGGTCACTACAGAGCCATTTACAAAACTAGAGACTCCAGATATAGGGGGAGGGGACTACCAACCTGTTGGCCATGGTTTTCCTATTTCTGGTAATTTGATGATCAGCTGATCCTTGCATGTAAAATCAATTGTAACCATTGATCTCAATGGTTTAAACTTTTCATTTGGTCTGCACTATGTTATGCAGTTAAAAAAAAATTTAAGTGTGTGGAATTCTTTTATTTTTTTGTTTTTGTGTTTTCAATAAAATTAGACTGAAACATTCAGGGAGAGTTCTGATGTTATGACTCATGAAATAAAAAGAAGGAAACGCTGCAGCTGCTTTCAGGTAGTCGGTTTTTTCAAAAGCAGTAACATAAATGCAACTACAAAAAAAAATAAGTCTGAGACAATCTCCAGTTTGTTTTAGTTTACCAAGATAACTACCATGAAAACCTGCTAACTCAGCAGAACCCCTGCTGTATATATCCTAGCGCAGGCATCCCCAAACTCGGTCCTCGAGGGCCACGGTCCTGCAGATTTTAGAGGTTTCCTTGCTCAAGCACACCTGATTTTAATTGAAAGCTGATTAACAGGCTTTCGGTCTACTGCAATAATTATAATCAGCTGTGCTAAAGCAGGGGAACCTCTTAAACCTGCAGGACAGCGGTCCTTGAGGACCGACTTTGGGGATGCCTGTCCTAGCGCACCTCTAGTCAAGAACCTGGCCACCCTGACCTCAGTTCCAATGATCAGGACTTCAGATGTTCTGACCAGAATTTTGTTCCAAAACTGAGTTGCATCCAGCCCCAAATTAAATGTTTTACTTGCTTTTTTTTTCTCCCAGGTGAAGAAGGTAAAGAAATGGAGCTGTAAGCTGTGTGGAGAAAAGCAGTCGCTGTTGAAGGTCAGAACCAGATCATCGACATACAGTATGCAGCAGACTAAATCAATTTATCCTCTTTTTTTTTTCTTTCCCTTTAGACTAGGACTGAGCTGTCATTTGAACCAAATTAACTCAATTCTATTACTATCTGAGGTTTTATTGTATTTTAAATAAAGTGTTTCGGCTAATTTGGCCTGATTATAAATTATAATTTGATATATTTTGCTTCTCCATCAATGAATTAATTCAAACTCAGATACCGCTCCATCATTTTATTGGTAATGTTATAACCATTGTAATGTCTCCCCCTTAATACTATTTTTACATTATTAGCTTTACTTACGGTAATCCTATCAGTTTAGTTAGTAGTTATAGTTAAACCCTTAATAGCTTAGTTTAGAGTTACTGTATTCAATTTAAGTTTGAATTTAATTATATCTGTTAATAATTAATATATTTTAAAGAGAAGTTTTGAATTTATTGCACATGTGTGCAGTGTTGGCTGTTGTCATAATATTTGTGCTTAATTCTCTTTTTCATCTGTTGTCTAAATGCCACCTTACTGGGCTCCTGTTCAAACCTGAAGATAAGCCTCTTTAGAAAAGCGTCCCTTTGGTACATTGTTCTCTGTCCTGATCTCAGGACTGTTTCCAGGTGTTGAGATTTGATAGTTCTGTTCAGTCCTAGTGGACATTATGGACAAACTGACTTCTGAAACAAATGCTCAGGATTGTTCTCTCAATGTTCTGCTCTCTTATTAAACAGAAACTGCAGCTAACAGGTTCTAGTGTTTAAACCCAAACGATTACAGAGAAAAAATACTTAGAACATCTGAAAAACATTTAGTCACAGTTTCTGAACCACTGAGGTCCAATTGTAGGAGTGCGGAAACACTGAGAACGTTTAGAATTGTTCTTCAGGTTCTTCTCATTAAATGTATCCAGAACTCCAATTACAGCTTTCAGAGCTTTGATCTGCAGGAATATGGCCGGGGATCCGGAGCAGACTGCCGTCGTCATGTCCAAAAGCTGAACGCCATGAGAGGAGCCATGATGGAAGAACAGGAGGCTGCCAGATGGTCACTATGGTAACAAGCTATTGTTTACCTAAACAAGTAGAACAGGTTATCCTCCATTCTGTCAGCACTGTGTCCAACCCTATCTGTAGCCAAGATGACATCACTCGGTCTTTTCTAGCATTTTCCAAAGGTTGAACAGCTCATCATCCTTTTCTAGACGCTCCAGAGTTCTGGTGCTGATTCTCATCAGCTTAGCCCCGTCTTTCCTACACGATTTTGATTTGGGGATCTACAAGGTTCCCAGGAAAACAGGCCCATTGCATCACACAACCTCCACTGTACTGAACAGTGGACATGAGGGGTTTTTTGTGACACCTTCTTAAGTGTCACATTGTCCTAAATTGAGGGTTTGTTGCTGATAAGCTAAGTCCTAGCCTGAACAATAAAACATTTCTTAAAGGTCTGGTCTTGATTCTCATATTCATTGTGAAGAATATTCATCTGTTGCTTCAAACTGTCTGTGGTCCTGTCAATTTAATCTTTCTATCAAACCTTTTCTGAAGAAACCAACTTGGACTCTCCATAGCCGAGCACTCAGCTGTAGTGTTCCCCTGTAAAAAAAAAAAATCATGAGGTCTTCAAACTAAAATACCTCTAAATAAAAATAAAAAAATATGCCCACATTAAACTGAGCTTAGAGAAGACCCGTCTTCTGGTCATAGCTGATATCTTGGTCCCTCTGATCAGGCAGCAGGTCAGACTTTCGGAGTCGGCCATCAAGCCAAAGTAAAGGAATTTGGGTGCAGTCTTCACTTAAAGTCTCTTAAAGGTCTTTCAAAATAATTTGTCTTAAAGCATTTTTAGCATTTGTGAAATATTTCCAAACTAAAGATTTGCTGTTTAAATGGATGGATTTACATTCTTTTCTTTCATTTTAGCAAGATTATCATTGATATTTATAAAATAGATCTTCTGCAGGACTCCGACCTGGAAGCATCAGCATGACCTTGGTTACTCTGGTTAGCTGTTTGTTACTGGTTACCTATTTATTACTAGTTAGGGTTACCTCCTCCTCGCTGGTTACCCCTTTATCAGATAACTAGGCCTGAACCTTTTGTGATTACTGGTGTTAGTTTTGTTTTTTACCTGACAACACAGAACATGATTTTCCAGAAGGACAGTTTCACTGCCTGGGTTTTATTTACAGAACCATTTAACCCGGAGTTTGTTCACCTGATTTTCGATTGTTACAGTGGGCAGGAGGAGGAGGAGGAGGAGGAAGAGGAGGAGGAAGAGGAGGGGGATGATGAGGGGGAGGAGCGTACAGATGATCAGGTGAGACTGTTTGTTTGTTTTGGTTGTTTTAGAAGGAAAACTAATCTCTTAGCTCTCTGTGTCTGACTGCAGGTGAGACCCACTCAGGTGAGTCGATGGAACAAGTACCTAGACACACCTGAGGAGGAAGAAAGCTTGGTGGAGGGAGATGATCTCCATGGGAACAACAGCAGGTGACTGAGTTTAACCATCTTCAGGCTCTGCCTACCTGTTTAATGTAAACCCAGTAATCTCTTAAGGTTTATGGTCTCTTCAGAGTGTCTAAGTAGAGGCTTCCCCCAGAACATGACCCATTGAGATTCTATGGACTTTCTTCAGAGGATGATCCCTGCCGACCCTTCTATTTATTTTAGATTTATAAGGTCGTCCATTCTAGCTGTGTTCTTTTGGTGCCACTGGACCCGTAACAGCAGCTTGGACTCTTTTTGTGACCTGGCATTGTTTTGGATCGGAGTGCAGAACAAACAATCATAATGTTCTGCTTTCTAACAGGAAGAGACCGAGACTGGAGGAGCCTGCAGATGCAAGACAAGATGATGGATGTTTACCTGCCAAGGTAGATCTATCACTCAGCAGCACTCTGTGCCACGTGCCCTGAACATCTTTGTGTTCCCCTTAGAATCCAAACATTGTTTAAAATCAAAACAGTTTGACTGAAGACTTGTCTTTCATCTTTAAAGCTAAGTTATTTCTGAGCTAGTGAGGGAGAAGTTCAGTTTGAATTCACATGCTGATTAGACTTTCCCAACATTCAGGGGTCGGTACAACCGTTGTTGGCATTAAAGTTATAAGTTGGTCAGAAAGATATTAAGAAAAACGACAGTTGTTGGATAAGTTTGGAGCCTGTCTAGCTCCTCCGGCCTCAGAAAGTTTCATCTTTACGCTTAGACATCCCTGTGATTATACCTTCCTGAGCTCCAGTGCATGGAGCTTTGTGTCCTAACAGCAGTAACGACACCCGATAGTCCAGAAAAGATTAATCAACACTTAAGTCTAAACGTGCTGGATGTTTCTAAACTAGCCCTATCGCAATAGCTAATTAAACAATCTAATGAAATGAACGCAACGATGTATGATGCCTTGAAATGAGCTTAATAGTTTACGTTCCCATGTCTTTTTCCTCAAGAACCTAGATTACAAAAGATTTTCTTCTGGTGCATCAGTCTTCACTGACCTCTCCCCTTATGGTTCCCCTAGCGTAACAAGTGTAGCATAAGAAGTGGCGGGAGAAATACTCGGTGAGATCTGGAGCTGGTTTCAAAGCCAAACCAGCAGCTGCAGTGTGGGAGCACTTTGGATTCAAACATTACTGGAAAAATGTGTCTGCCATAATAAGCGCTAAATGTAAGAAGCAAGCAATATGCTTCCTAGTGGGCTGCAAGGCTTAAAAATCTAATCTGATTTTATTTCTTTGTTCCCACAAAATTAGTTATATCAATTTTTTCCCCTCGCTTAGATTTCTTAATGAAAATGACGTTTACTGCCATCAGTACCTTAAATTAAGGCGAAAACAAGCTGTGAAAAATACTTGTAACACGTTTCAGGACAAACGTAAATATAAAACGCTAAATGTTTACAGCTTTTGGTAGCACACAGCTGGGCTTGTTTATCAGTTATGAGGAGAAAGTGATTTACTGATGTCACTCTAGTGGAAAAGGTTTGTGCAACTTTTTTTTGTAGTTCTTTTCCATATACCTGATTTAAACAGTAAAATCCTTTTCTTCTATCCAGCAGACTCTTCCAGCAGTGACATCGGCTGCCAGCTGCGATCAAGATGGTTCTGGCTCCAGGCTGGGTCGCTTCCTCAATGCTAGCAGGGGGGCGGAGTGCTCTGTTAGTGGGCGGAGTCAAACAGGAGCTGCTGCTACTAAGTCCTGCAGTGATCACTTCGTTACCAAATTTCCTGTGTCCTCCATGTTTGAAAGCGGCGAAGAGGTCGACTTCGACGACTTTCTGAATTTTTAGGTGTTTTTTAAATTTTTGTATCAAAAAGGTTTATTCGTATCTGAGATGTTTTATTTATATCAATGTCTGTTTATTTGGACACATACACGATTATCTTTGCAAGTCTTTATTGATCATTTGATCAGAAATTGGAGATGAGGAAAGATTAGAAACAGGAACAAATAAAGATGTTAAAGAGACCTCAGAGTAAAGCCATTGATTAAATGTTATTCGATCTCAGGTTAAAAGAAAACTGGCTGAGATGATGTCACTGGCGAGGGCGGGGCTGCTTGGCGTACTGAATGGCGTCCAGGGCAGCTCCAATGTCGCAGTTTTTGGCTTGGAGGAGGTGGGTCAGCCACCCTCCTTCATCGCTGAACCCCATCGACAGCATCGCGGACAGAGACTCCACCAGACGTGGGTCAGCTTCTGGAGAGGCAGAGGGAGGGAGGAGCTTAATGACAGCAGAGGTCTTCATAACAGCTTCTCAGAGGACAGATCTGTGCACTCACCTTGAGGCAGGTGTGGGTAAAGAGCCGCCTCCCGCAGGCCTGTGGGCCCCTGCAGAGAGGGCCCTGGCGATGGGGTCCCCTGCCCTTCTGGCTGCAGCGACTGCAGCTCACCTGTAGACGGATCCACCTCTTTGGAGCTCAGATGAGTCCACTCTTCATCAGAGTCTCTGCTCACCTGCAAAATAAGCCGTTTAATAACTGGGATGTGACATAATTAGATAAACAATGATCCAGTTGCATCGATGCAAAATAAAAACAATCCATTTTGTCATCCACAAGGCACAAGTCTATAGTGAAGTGATATATTTTTATAGGATTAGAAGATGATTTCCTTTGCATTTCAATCCCTGAAGGAGTGTAGAAAATGACATATACTTGCTAATTCTTATGGGTTTATTTAATTCCATGACAATTTCTATTCAGATTTAAAATTGAATTTGCGCTATACTTAAATTGAACATGAGCTACGTTTGCATACACAATATTTCATAATCCTATTTAAATATATTTGGAATTCAAATAATTGGAATAAAACAGCCATTTGGGGAGGAAGGAAAAGTGTTGTAAACGTGCCAGTAGGCGTATTCTTACATAGCATCTAGTGCCTAAAACAGCTACGTCACATTAGCTTAGGTTGCACATATCCAACTCTGCTAACTGTAAGCAGAATAGCTCGATCCTGACATGCATTTGCATTATCAATCGGCATAAACCACCCCTCACAGTCGGCTTATGATTCTGATCTCATCGTCAAATAGTTTTGATAACTTATGTCCATATAAATGTAGCTAGTGAGATTACTTTAAACTGCAGCATGAGGTAAACGTTGCTGCATATTTGAGGAAGTTAGTTCTGGAAAATCCTAAAGGGTTCTTTAGTTTAATGTTAACACAGTTATCGAAATCCTGCAGATGATCTACATTACTGATAACTGGTTTTTCTAACTGACCTTTGACCCTTGGCCGGTGCTGGTTTCCATGTTGGTTCCGCCCTCGCTGCTGGCTCCGCCCTCTCCATCCATCTCTACATCACCCTCTCCAGCTCCATTCTGAGTGGGTGGAGTCACCTTGGTCCTCTGGCCTTCATGCTCCACGTCAATGTCCACATCGATACCTGCACAGAGATGACATCACTTCCTGTTCAGGTCTTACCTCATGAGGGGGACACATGCCATGTAAGAAACCTTGAGAATGCTGTCATCATAAAATGACCTTGTAAGCTAATGCTCAATCCAAACCATAAAGAGCAGTAGAAATAGTGGCTGGGCAGAAACTAGGCCGATATACAGAGTGAAGATTAAACAGTGGCTATAAAAGGTTCAGGATATTTCACTGGGTCAGAACCATCATTAAAATATGAACTAAAGGTTCTGTGTTAAAAGCTAGAAAGCAAATGTTCAAACCATAACTGTGGAAAAACTAGAGAAGGAATCAAAGGTATGTTGCGGGTTTGTTCACACTGTGAATAATGGCTGAGCTGTGGAGGTCCTAACAGAACGCTGTTTCTAACTATTACTGCATTGCATTACTGCCTGATGGAATACAGAGCACTTGTTCTGATGGAGGAAGTGAAATTGACCGGGTCAGAACCAGTTTTTTTACCATCATGAAGCTAAACTCAAGCTGCAGCTTCAGGTTATTAAAATGCAGCTGAAACAAGTTACTGCTCTGATGTCACTCACCTAGTGGACTCAGCATGGCAGCCACGCCCTCCCCGATGTTCTTCAGGAAATCCACACTGGCCTGAGATGCCGCTGCTGCACAGAGGTCAGAGTTCGGTCACCTTCATGATAGACTTTTCAGTAGGGGCAAAAAGCAGATTTCTATTCACATCACTCACCAGAGGGGGCACCGTTTTCCTCTGCAGGTCTGGAAGGCCCAGCTTGCTCCTGCTCCTGGTTCTGATTCTGGTTCTGAGCCTGGTCCTTGGTCTGGCTCTGGGCCAGGTGCTGGTTCCACATGCAGTGTTTCATCCTCTTCATCCACCTCCCCCGAGGAAACCAGTGCTGTGGGAGGATCCATTTTTAATAAAGCATCACGTCATGTTTGAACAAAAAAACACATCGACTATGGACAGAGCTTATCAGCTAGCCAATCAGGAGGAGAGATCTTACTGGACTTTGATCCAGAGCTCCCCTGATCCATACCAGACAAGCACATTGTTTTGAGCAACTGCCCCATCCCAAGCTCACCTGCATAGGGTGCCAGATGGGCAGCAGGGCGTGCTCTGTGTGCTTCCCCTGAGCCTGACAGGTGGAGCACAGGTCATAATCGGGACACACAGAGCACTTGAAGCGAGTTCCTACTATGGAGGATTCGCAGCCATCACAGGTCACGTTTGGGTGAAGGACGGGGGGCAGCCCCATGTGAGGGGGTCCATGAGGAGGAGGAGGAGGAGGAGGGCCAAGAGGAGGAGGGCCAAGAGGAGGAGGGGTCCCGAAGGCAAAGGGTGGGAAGGCATGAAGAGGAAAGTCCCGACGGTGCTCCTTCCTCTCTGTAAGAGTTCAACAGAACTTAAGATGGAAGCAGTGAACACAGTTTACGTCTCCCACAAACACGCATTATCTGCTTACCTTTGATGTAGAGGCGGAACGTGGCATCCTTGACGAAGGTCAGGCCCATCATAAGCTCATCATCGGATGAGAACGCCACCAGGTCGCCGTCTTCATCTAAAACACCATCATCATAATCATCAAGGATTCATAACCATATCAGGACTTTAACAACAGTTTAAAAGGACTGGAACAAATCTAACCAATCACAGGGCCTAAATACCATATGGCCACACCCACCGGTAAAATTCTGAGGTTTAAGAACTAGTTTAACATGTACAAATCGAAGGTGAAAAACATTAAAAAAACACTTAGCAAAGTTTTGAAAGGAATCAGAAGGTTAAAGGAGCCGATTACCATGGTTACAAGGTGTTGACACCACAGAATTAAATAGGTAAATCAGCTGAGGGGCGTGGCTACCACCACTGAGGGAAAACCACTGATCTCTATTTAATCAATGGATTGATGATAGCCAGAAAAAAAGTGAAGCCATTGCGCGCCATATTGGTACTCCCAATGCTACTGTGTAGCATTTGGCTGCAAAAACAAGCAGTTTGCCGGCTGTGGGAAGACGCTTCACAGGTAATTTCAAAGTCAGTGGATGTACTAACCAACAAAATCCATACATACGCTGATGTTTCCCATAGTATAGTATGTAGCGTAAGATTAGTCAGGCTATCTTGGACCGACTCGACAAGATATTGACTGAGTAGCCATCAACATTGTGTCTAACATTAAAAAATAGAAAGCAGAAAAAAATAGAAAAAAATAATTCACTGTGAAATGATAATGTAGTAATTCTTAAGTGGCTGAGGCTGTCGTTTAAAAAAAAAAAAAATCATGTGCTGAAATACATTGCATGTTATATTGACGAAAAACTAAAAATTACAGGCTAATGCACAGACACAGCATAAAAGGATATGCCATCATGAATGCAAAATTTGCAAATATAAAAACTATACTATAGGATGAACAGAAATACTTGAAATTCTATGTAATATGTAATTGCCATAACAACATGTTATAACATGTGCATAATCAATTTAGCACTTTTGGCACATCTGTATTATTATGCTCCATTAACACATTAATTTAACTGACTATGCAATGTGCCTATTTTTTTATTATTACCATAAATTACAGTAATCTACTGATGCTATAGAACAGCAAGAGTTTATCAAAGTGATGAAGTTATCTTTATAAGTCTTAAGACCTCCTTAAAATGACATCATAGTTGTTCGACGCTGTAGCGCACGTGTTGTTTACATTGCGACCGGTCTAACAAGGGAGTACCAATATGGCGGCTGGTGGCTTCACTCCACCCCGTGCTACAAAGGGCCTATCAGCAATCCAGTGAATAAATAAAGATGAATAGGAAAAACAAACATGGTCACATGATCTGAGGTTGGATAAGTTCTACTGGGCCCAGTTTCACCCTGAAACAACCATCTGTAAGCTCACCTGCTGACGTGGCTAAACTTAATGCGTTACGTTTAAACATCAGAAAACACTCACCTTTATAGAACAGATTGAAGGTGGAGGAGCTGAGGTTGGAGAACACTGCAGACACCTTCTTGCTCAGGTACTCGAAGCTGCAGGAAACCTCGTGATCCACCGCGAACCTGCGGATCTCCTTCACCTGCTCGTCCTTCCCCAGCAGGTAGGCCTTCACTGTCACCGACATGTCCACGACTGAACCGAGTGGACTCAAACCGAGTGCGAGTTGAGTTTGTCCGAACACAACAAAGTGCGAAAGTTTGTGACGCAGCTTGAAATCTTCAGCCTTTTTATGTTTACTTCCGTCTCAGACGTCACCGCGGCCCAAAGTACGAGGGCTCCTATTGGCCAGCGAGGAGCCCCGCCCTGACTGATGGCAGCCTGCAGGATGACTCAGTGCGGGACTTTCCATGGAGCCGCGTGACCAGGTGACTTTTCCAAGTGAACCTGGATAAAAAAACCTCAGTCATGGTGACCAAGCAACGT